TGCATTAAGAGCTGCGCCTGATTCAAGTGTCAAATATGATGGAGTGGCTGACTTCCCTGCCAGTTTAAGCTTGCCACGGCTGGCTAGCTGAGCGGCTGACTGAATGTGCAGCATCGTTCCTCTTAACACGCAAACTAAATGAATCATTGAATCCAACTCCTGCAGACAGGCAAGTATATCTAGATCATTAGGAGGAAAACTTTGTCATCTTAAAATAGCTGCTGTGAAACACAAGTCAGAGGCCCAACAAGGTAGATTTAGATACATAACAAGTGAGTGATAAACAATCATTTGGGCGATACATGTTTAAAAAGATCTATTTCAATACTAGTCATGGATCATCTGGCATTTAAACACCACAGGATAGAAAAGTTCAACAGCTACGTCAGTGTGACAGCGGCTATATCACAGGAGATGACGTGGGCAGACACAATGGCTGTGAGGGTTTTTTGGAAAAGGAGCTGCTGTCTCTGTGGCGCAGCGTCCAGGCAGGCCACCCACATAGAGAGAGGGTCTGAGGAATGCTTTTTACAGGATTGCTTGTCTTGCCCCCCCCTCCATGTGTCAGGAGTGCCATTACATACATTACCTGGAGAGGAGTGTGTGTTTGTGCATGTAGTCAGTGTGTTTTTGTTTGCCTGGACATGGATTTTCCACGTGCACCACGGTGTTGTGGTTTTGTGTTGACTATTCATGAAAAGACTGCACAGGAGGGCCTTTTATTTTTCTTACAGTTGGAGCTGAAACGATTAGTCAATTAGCTGAACGACAGAAAATTATATAACAGCAATTTTGATTATCTGTTGATTGTTCAAAGGGGAACTCCACTTTATATGTGAAAAAAAAGTTGTTTAAAGCCTTCATTAAGTCTGATAAACTTGAGGCAAGGGACATCACTTTTTTTTAAAACAAAAGACTACAAAATTAAAGAAATCTGGGTGTGTGGTGCTAGAAATAAGTGAGTGAGTTAGCGAATTCTACTATAGCTAAGGCATGACCCGCCCTACTCTGCCTCTGATTGGCTTAGCCTGATTACATTTCTCCCGCAGCCCTCGCATGCAGTACATTTTTATTGTCTTCGTCAAACAATTTGTAGTTGCAAATTTAATCAGGTGCCAGACCAGCCAAGAGATGGCATGAGGTAGTCACCGTATTTTAATTAGAGATTAATCCGCTAATTACTTTCCCGAGTAGTCTTTCTCTATAAAATGGGGTAAAAATTGGGGAAATGCCCAGTCCAAGATGACGTCATCAATTTGCTTTTCTGACCAACAGTCTGAAAAACACTTTAGATCAGATTTATGATCAAATAAAACAAAGACAAACACAGCAAATCAGGAAGCTAGAAGGAGGAGATGTTAATTGATGCTAATAAATGATAGATGCAGGTTAATTTTGTGCCGCTCGACTAATCAATTAGACAACTAATTGTTACAGCCGTAAATGATACCAGGGGTTGGCGCCTCTTTTGCCGCATTGTTTGTTTGAAGCGGTAGAAGAAGGCAAGATGAAACGTCAATTTCTAGAATTTAAAATAAATATATATTGCATCAGACTTATGAGTGTTCAACTTTTGCTTGTTTTTTGTTTCTTTTGTTTTTTAGTATCCACTTGATAAACCGCTGGTGAAGGCTTGATTGACACTTATCTTTGGTGTCATGTTAGCCTGCAGCTGAAGATGACGTAGCTGAAATGTTGCTGTATGTTAGTCTTTGTTAATTAATATAATAATATACATGAAGTGAACAAAAATAGTTAAATGAGCATAACAATAGATTTTACTTCCTATTTTTACTTGAGCTTTGACTATATTCATGGCCCCACAGCTCTTTTCTGTCTTCTGTTTATTTCTCCTACCCTTAAATGTAAAAATACCATTTACGTAAATCTGCATACTAACTTTTTACTTAAACACACTGGTATGGAGATCTTTTTTTAAATTGATAGGCTCAGTGACAAAATAAAATTGACAACAGATTTATGGATCTTTGGCACCCTCTGATTAATCACTTGACCAGTGATCTAAGTTAATTTAGTTAGTTAAGGGAAAGGGACAAATTGGACTGGAAGAAGGTCTCTTACACAATGTAACACCTGTCCTTTTGATCTAGATCTTTACTGTGTTAAGGATCAGCTATGCGCTTTCCTTTTTCTTCTGCTCCTCCCTCCTTCTTATAGCACAGGCCTTTGATGTTTGGTTGTGACACTGTTGTGATGCAGTAAGAATACTGTATATTAATAAAAAAAGCATACCAAATGTAACTCTTACACTGATGAGCACTGTCAGTTTGCCACCACTAGAGGATGCTTTACTTCTAGTTTCAATTTTTCCAGCAGCAGCAGAGTGAGTGATACTCTGGCAGATAGCTGATTTCATAAACAACATTTAATAGGTGACGCCCTGTATCCACAATATCCACCTGTACACATATGGCAATGCCGGTTACTTTAAGTTGTGGTTGTTATAAGTGTTTATCTCACCTGCACCATGTCAAACAAAGTGTGGGCTGTGCCTATATTTGCAGTTATCAGTGGAGTGACAGGCCGCAGGGTGTGTGACTGTGAGGGTGACATGCTCTGATGCTGTTCAAAGGACCTGACTGCTGCAGGATATGTGCAGGAATACATACACTGTATACTTGACCAATGTCAGCGCAGCACAGCGGTGTGTTTGTGTGTATTTATAATGCATGTTAGAGGGAGAGTAGGGGTTAAACTGTGTGCATGAAGAGAGGGTGTAGCCAGATCGACTGTGGTGACAGATAATGGGTGGGGACCAAAAGGTGTCACCTCACGTCTAACTGTCATACATTTATAATCCGAGCCGGCTTATCATTTTTGCCATAGACAGGTCAGCATCAGATGGAACGAACTAAGGCATGCATTAGTTTCTGACTCCGGGAAAACAGCTTTTAGGCTACATTTAGGCTTTTCTGAGCGATTTCTTCTATGTGAGTCTTAACAAATGTAATAACTACTATAATATTTTTTCACTTCCATTCTCTGAGCCTCCCCTGAAACAGTTTGGAGCCCCCCTGGGGAGGCCCGCCTGCCACTTTGAAAACCTCTGCTCTACCACAGACTGGTAGATTTTATTCAATGCCTCAATCATTTAATCACCAAAATACAGCCAGCTCATGTACTACTAAAAACAAAACAGAACAGTGTACTCCACTGTAGCAGTAATACATTACAACAACTTGTAAACAAATAGAAAGCAATAGATTGCAGTGGTGGTGAAGTGGTGTTGCAATGATGTTAAAGTAAGGAGAACTACTTTCCGAGGTGCACTGATTTAGTGATCTGTATACAGAAATATGCCTTGGAACTTATGCTAATATGAGCTGGCTGTATTCTGACTGACTGAGTGTGTGATTTCGCGTTTTTCTGTGTGATGACACTGAATTTAGCAAGTCAGTTTGGCTCTTTGCATTAAAAGTTTTTGTTTCAATTTTTGGAGGAGTATTCAGATCCTTTACTAAATCGGTTATAATTGATATTTATTCATCAAATAACAATGTGAAAGGACTTGTTCATGGTGATGAACCTACAGAGAATGAATCTGCAACTCAGCTTGATAGTGAGTTTCAGCTCACTGTTTAGCTGCCCAGCCCACAACTGTTCTGGTTCACTCTCACCACTCTCATAGTTCCCAGCCACAGCAGGCAGCAGTTTTTAATGACAACCCACTGTCCACCTCCTTCTCAGCACCAAAATGCAGACGGACACAATTCGTCATCAGCGGGTGAACACAGTAGAGAATTTAGCAGTTAAAGAGCAAGATATTTCTCTCAAGAGTTTTTGGTGTAGACCAAAAACAGAGCTAAAAAAAGACTGGACACTCATGAGGGGGTCAGAAACACAACTCCAACTGAATGATAATGTTGACCGGTAATTGCTACATGTGTAACTAAGCAAATGTTTGATAACAAGTTCACCAAGTTCATCAGCTTAAAAGCACAATCTCTTAATGTCACAACTTGTTTCTGCTTAAATAACTTATTGCAGGTTTGAGTGAAAGTTTATTACAACAATGTAAAGATGCTCCATTACAAGTTCTGCATTGAAAATGTCACTTAAATGAAAGTGCGGCAGTGTTGTCCTCATCAGCAACATATACTTAAAAAGGTAAATATGGCCCTTATGATGTAATATTAAAATTTTTAATGTTATTCAAGTGTTATCACTGATGTATTCATGTGTGTATGTGGCAGTTGGTGGAGGTGGAGCCAATTTCCACTATTGACTTATTGGGTAGTTTAATCTGTAATGTTAAATCATATTTTATACAGTGATCACATCATTTGTATAAAAACATAACTGTCTGTCAAATATATGTAGTGCAGTAAAAAGTACAGTATGTCCCTTTGAAGAGTAGTGCAGAAAACTAAATGGAAAATGGTAATTTTGCGGTACTTGTACTTTACTTAAGTATAGAGCTTGAGCAAATTGACTTAGTTAATTTCACCACTGCTGACAGCAATTCATTTACAGAGTTTACCACAGCTCTACTGTAATTCTTTATTTGTACAGTAGGCTGTACAAGGTTTGCATTGTATATCCCAGCTTACACATGCATACGTTTCATAGTTTTTGGAGCCTTCAAGATGCTTGAAGCTGTAGTTGTGACTTTGATAATATTGCAGGATATTAAGATATTTCAGTTGCCTTGTAACGTACAAAAGAGGTTTGCTTGCCTGACCTATTTTTTTCCAGCTGGATTCTTGCAAGAGGACATGAAAGAATCCACCGGGAAAATGAATAATGCATCTGTCTTCTTCCTCTATTTGGTGCACCAATTCCCTGCTTTCTCTTCTCTATATTCTAAAAACAACAGCTAGAGTGAAATAGATGGTTAGCTAGAGTTTAAATTATTTCACATTTAGCGTGAGTTTAAATTATTTATAAAAGTTGTCATAAGGGATTTCTACCCGCAACGTATGTTTGAGCTAAAATCCAGAACTGTGTGCATCTATGAACAGAAAGTCATCAAGGCAATAACTATTTCTTGTTATTTATTTGAATAAATTACATTGACTTATCACATTTTTTTTCCCTTTACATCAAGCATACAGTCGTAGAATCCAGTGCAAGAATAAAAGAAAACAAAAACAGAAGACAAACAAAAAAACAATCCAAAGACAATCATGTGCAGCACAGAGAATCCCTCCTTTCACATTGCTTCTGGATAATATACTGTATATATACATCTATACTGTATGTGTATACTTTTGTCACAGTTACAAAAATAAGATACGTTACTGTTGATGCGCGACTATACACACAAGGTGAAAACAAAACACAGAAAAGCTGTACAGTCCTCATTGAGGGCAAAGATACACACGATTGTTCAAAAAAAGTGAAAGAGAAAAATAAGGAAGGAATTGTATCGCCTTTAAAAAAAACTTGAATACATGATCTTCAAACTGTATTGTATTCTTCCCCAGCCAACAAAGTATACTGTCAAAGTTGTGCTTCCCTAAAACAAAACAACAACAAAAAACACACCACTTAATATGGGGTATCCGTTGGTTTTGTATCATCTAGTGTAATTCTACTGAATATAATGAATTGGTCCTTTAATTAAAAGAGACATCCATGTTTGTTTTAATGTTGAACACTGTCAGAGACAGTATATTTTAAATACCTCAGCATCAGAGGTCCTCTGCAACCCCATCCCTGTGCATAACATGTACAGTTAGCAAACCCAAATACGCTCCCCTCCCCCAAATACATGCACAACACCACTACAAGATGAGTGGGGGAAAAAAAACAAAACAAAAAAAAACTGTTACCGCTATTCAATTCTCCTGCAGATGGGTTTAATCATGGACATTGCAGAGTGTAAAACCTCAGGGAGAACGTACAGCATCTGATCAGCTGACTAAAACATGTTCGGTAATAACTGAAGTTGGTTTGATTTCTAGAGTATCAGTACATAAGTTAGGGACAGAAAATCCCACACAATACTGCATACAACAGCTCATTAGGAAAATTAAACCTAATGTACAATCTTATAGCCTAGCAATTTTTCTCATGTCTAACATGACATGAAAAGGTCAAACCAGTGGCTTGTAGTCCATATTATGTTGGAGAAAAGTTTTTTTAAGTTTAAGTTGCATCATTTCAAATGAATAAAACATTTCCGCCGAGACATAAAGAAATGATTTCTCATTCCGTTCAGCCATTTGTGCGTTCCTAGCTATGTCTAGTTTCCTCTTAATCAATGGCTTATTGACAGCTATACTACAGAATACTAATCGGACTAGTTAGGGGTGCAGCAAGAAGAGATACGGCTTCAGCTGCAGCAAACAGTTGCCCCTATGAGCAGTTCAGTCCTCTAAGTTATTATATCACAATACATTAACCATTTTTCACACAAGCTGCTGATAAAATACACTTGGAGGATTTTATACTTATGCACCATAGTTTTCTTACATCACTTTAAACAGTTTAAACTTTACAACTTGTGTTTTTTGCAAATAATGTCATCACTCCACTAATCACTGGCTCAGATATGTAATGACACATACTTACAAATACAGTTTCAGCCCTCCTGATAAGAATACCAAAGAACTAGAGATTGCAAGCTTCAGCATGTTGCATCGAACAGATTTACTGATACCATGCTGTCATGAAATCTCAAAGCTAAAATTGGAGTTTGTTCAGGTTTTTGCAGGTAATTTTGGTATCTGAATCACATATGACCAATCATGTGCGCATGTTGATATGTAAAAAATAACAATATTCTTGGTAATAGGTAATCTTGGTTGTTAGTTATTAGCTAGATGAATTGGTCTTTTGTCAAAACTGCTGAATACATCCTTTTTGAGCAAGACAGGGAAGTGATTACTCCAGAAACTTCCCAACATGCCAAGAGATGACTACCATTAAAAAGAAGAATATATATATATAAAAAAAACAACTAAAATCAGCTCAACATATTTCTTTTATAAGATAAAAACGTTAAACACTTGAAACATGCTTGACCTAGAGTCGCTAACAAACGTGATTCACGTGGACTGATTTTTTTTTTTCCTAGTATGTGACAGAAATGTTTTTATCTACCGTAGAGGTTTCCACAAAGTACAGTGAATGAGAGAGAAGTGTGATTTTGCAAAGCTGTTTTGATAAACTCATGACGGACTGACAGCCAACATAAACTGAGACAAAAGCCAGAACAGAAATGGATGAAAGCCTGAAGGTACCTCCTGGGATAAGGGGAAGCAACGACATCAATGCAGATTTTTCCTCTTTTAAAAGTTTTTATGAGCAATTGGTGCATACTTGCTTTAATTTGTCGTCAATCTTTGTTCGTATCTTCGTTCGTTATTGTGTTGTTGCTGTTTCGACTCCTTTAAAGCGGAGTACAGGTGGTTGGTAGGAATGTTTAGGAAAAAGGTTACCGGGAATACTGGTGGGAGGAACTGGAGGCTAGGATTTGTTTCGCCACCGTTGCAGACACAGCTGGTAGTGGTGACGTCCTAGTGGGGCAGCGGCACCAGGATATCCACATAGTTGATGGGGAAGAAGCCGGAGTTGCCGTGCAGCATCCCCTCGTACCAGTTGTCATCGATCTTATTGGTCAGGGTGATGATATCGCCTTCCTTGAAGCCTAGCTCACCTTCATTCTCAGGGTCAAAATCGTAGAGTGCACGACAGCAGGGCTGGTCCATAGGGGCTGGACAAAATAGTTAGAGAAGAAAAGGAGAGTTAGAAGAGAGGTTAGAGGAGGAGATGCTGCATATAAACAAGAAAAGCTTGAGAAAGGCTCACCTGGAGACCTGGCTAAAAGACGGAAACAGGAGGAAGCAGCGAGGAGGAGACAAAGCAAAAGAGAGAGACAAAACATGACGGTGACTATCAGTGACGGTAAAATATTAATGAGGCATATGACATCTAAAGGAATAGTTCTACATTTTGGGAAATGGGCTGATTCTCTTTGGATTGCGGATGGTTTCATAGAAAAGCTCAGTCTGTACTCTTTAACGGAGGTTGTGTGGTTAAACAGACGTACATTTGCCAAACCAACCAGTTAGTCTTCATCCTTCAAGTCTTTTCTGTTGTAAAATACTGTTTGAAAACCCCTTCAGATAAAGCCTAAATCTCACCTTTGTGTCGCTTGTTGAAGTTTGTTTTTGAGTGTGGAATGGGCAAATTTTCACCCCTTTTGGCAAATGTCGGGAAAAACAGCCACAAAACCTGTGGTTCTCACCAACCGTCAAGTACCACATGGTAGGAGAAGCAAACCTGCCTATCAGTACCTCTAAAGCTCCCTAACTAAGACATTAGATCTTTTTTTATTTAATTAGTACAAAAACTGAAGGTTAAACAAATTACAATTCACCATTTTATGGGGACTATTTCTTGGATCTGAGCAGTTGTCAAGCAAAGCTGAGACTCCTGACCAAGAAATAGTCCAGTAAATAACACCCTATAAAACAAATGAAATAGAGAGCTTTACAGGTGGTGGTGGGTGGATTTTTTTACACTCGGAAAGAGCCAAGCTAGCCGTTTCCCCTGTTTCCAGTCTTTATGCTAAGCTAACTGGCTGCAGCTTCATATTTTGCGTCCAGGTGTGAGAGTGGTATCAATTTATTTTTAACGAACTCTCAGTGAATAAGCTAACTACCCAAAATATGGAACTATTGCTTTAACAATGAAAGAAAGCTGTGCAATAAGAAAATTAAAAAAAATAGGGACAAAAGAGAAACAAGGGGTTATACAGAAACAGCACAGCAGATGAGCTGCACTGCAAACAAAAATGCAGACAAAAGTATACTTCCACAAAAGTTAAAGGAGGATACAAATAAGAGTGATAGAGAGATTTTGCATCTCTTCACAAGTCACTCTTTCTCACCTGGAGATCTTGCTGCAAAGGGAAAAGGAGAAAACAGAGCAGACGTGTTTATGTTAAATAGTATTTTCAAGATGGATAAATGATGGATTGATGGGTAAGTACAGGAGGTGTGGCAATGAAGAGTTAGATAAACAAAGCAAGAGGAAAACCCAAGCTGGACAATGAATTGAAAGAGAAGCAGAGCAGCAGACAGACAAAGGAACAGGAGGATAAGACAGACCAAAAGATTGAACAAAACAGGAACAGCAAATGCTGGTCCGCTGGTAAGCTGTTACTGTAGGTCTGGCATTCTTTGTACAGTGAGCGGACAGCACTTGTTTTTCTGCTGTTTGTAACATTTGGGCACAGTTTTCTCATAACAAAAGATACAAACAGACAAATAGATGGAAAAAAAAGGACTAAACAAGAATGACGAAGTGATGGAAGAGATATTGCCGTATCTCTCCGGGGATTCACTTTTATCTCACCTGGAGACCTTGCTGCAAAGAGGGAAGAGGAAACAACACGAGGGGAGCGGGAAAGAAAGCAGCAGAAGAAGTTTTGAGTTTTTTGTGTACATGAAAGGAGGTTGTTAAAGAAATGAATTCATGAGCACACAGGGAGTGAAACATTTTGGCAGATAAGTTTGACCTGGCTCACCTGGAGACCTCGCGCCTAAAAGAATGAACAAAAATCATAAGGGGGAAAGAGAAGAGTGCAGAGTTGCATTAATTTGTGCTGGATTGATGGATATTCTGTTCAGTAAAGGCAATAACTGAAATGTTGGGAAAAGAGTGGGGAAAAAGAAAGATAAAATTAGCAAACACAGTAAACACAGCGTAAATTCTCAAATATTTCCCCTTTTATTTTTAACACATTTCTTTTGAAACAACTTGCAAATTTCCTCTTTTACAAGATATTTCTATAGAAACAAATAATGTGTCCGCTATTTGGAAGAACACAATTTATTTGATTGTCTGTGTTTTTAAATTGTGTATATTTCTGCGTGTTTTCCTATTCTTATACTTATACATATACAATGATAACTACTTGTTTAAATAAAGCACTAACTTACTAACTATACTTTATCATATTTTAGAAATATACCCCCCTCTCTCTGATTGGGTCCCAGTCTCTAGTATTGATTTCTCATTGAAGCGGTTTGCTAAAAGAACTCTCCATATACTTTACTTTAAAAGGCTTCTATCACTTAATTATTTCTCTTTCATTTTGAAACAGCTGCAGGAAACGTTGCGTTTCAGTAGCTTGATATTAAGAGTTTAAAAAAAATTGGCCAAAATTAATTAGTAAAAGTTATGAGTATGTTGAACTGATTAAATAAGCTGTGAGTATGTAGATGACTAACTTCACCCTGCAATGCAGAATACATCTACCGTATGTTTTTTTGTTAGAAAAAGACCCAGCTGCATCAGCATTGGCTTTTATTTGAGAATCAACAGTAAAAATTAAAAACACAGAGAGGGTTGTTAAAGGAAATAAGGTGATGAATTAATAGAAACGAGTCCAGAAACTTTCCTTAACAGGCAAATACTACAACAAACTTTACAAGTGTGTCTTCACATCAACTGAAACAAACGTATGAGATACCAGTGTAAACACAGTACCAGGACTAGTTTTTGGACATGTTTCTGAGTAATGAGGTTTGTAATCTGTGTCTCACCTGGAGAGCGGGCACTGTGGATGCCTCCATTGTGGTTCTCACTGATGGAGAAGTCCAGAGAGGTACGTGGTTTAGGAGTGTACTCTTTCCTCGGTTTGTTAGAAGTATCCCTTATCCTGTGAAGTGGAAAACACAGAATCTCTCAGTACACTTACAAGAGAGGTTAACATAAAGGACTGGCAATTTGGTAATGCTGCATTGGTAAATAATAGTTCAAACAAGACTGAAATTCTACCTGTTACTGTAAGTACATCCAGCAACGTACGGTACAACAAAAACACCCAGTGAAACAGTAAGTGTGAGTACTAACCGTTCGTCGATCTTACTGGAGAGCTGTGTGAGGATCTCAGCAGCCCTGCTGTGGTACTCCACCTGAGCATGTACCAGTGCAGCGAGCTGGCTCACCTGTTCAATCTGTTAAAGATGCGCAAGGTGTACTTTTACATGTTGACACCATGACAGCTGGTACACACCGCCCATAATGACGACTGGACTCAAATTCACTGGGATGCTAAAAGTAATAACAGCTGATTTACAGCAGGATCACACAAAAACAATAGTGGATAACCTGGATGACTGGTACAACTGTTACAAACACAGAGATGGAGAAAGTCCTTAAAATGCTCATGAAAATGGCAATTTCAACATCTGCTAATGGACCTTGTGGGGATATTGTTTTAGTGACGTACAGGATCAGCTAATATTCTAAAGGGTAGTATTTGTATGGTTAACAAAACTGTGTTTATTGATACTTTTGGTGCCAATGACCTGAGAAACAGAGGCTCACTTTATAAAGTTGTGATGCAAAAAAGTGTAGCCATTTCTATTTCCCATTACATGTAATCATTTGACCAATTATTTTTCCTTGGGTAATAAATATTAGTGGAGCTTTAATATCTTTAACATTTTGTCCACTATAGAGTAGATGGGGGGCTTCCAGTAAGAACAGAGTCAAGGTTTGAGAGAATGGTTGTGATAGCTGGTTACAGCAACACTGGAAGGTGCAAGACAGTACAGTACTGTACACTGATTGGGTTGGCAGACTCAACAAAACACTAAAAACTAACACAAAAAAGCCTGGCTGTGCCAATGGTGTATGCAATTAACCAAGCAAAGAGTGTTAGGGGTAAAATGTTCCTTACATCACTCTCCAACAGGTTGAACATGCTCTGCTCAGCAATCTCCTTGGAGTCATCGAATTTCTCTAAGGCTTGTTTGAGCTCGTCGTCTGTCACTTTGCTCTGGCGTTTCTTTTTATAATCAAAGTCCAGACGGCGACCCTCCATTTTCTTCAGGTGATGCTGCAAAAAAAGACAAGCAGGTAAATTAGATTTTCTGACCAAGAGATGACTTTGATTATTAGTTGTGCGTCAGAGTTCTGCACTTTTACCTGAATCTCCTTCAGATCTTTTTCATGGAGGTTCTGCAGTGGATCGATGAAGTTCTGCTTTACCTCCATGTCCAGAGCGTCCTTAACCTCTCCAAGCTCATGCATGGCTTCCCCAACATCAATCAGAGCAAGGCCTGGAAAACACATTTAGAAATATGAAGAAAAAAGGTATTTCTCTTTAAACAACATTTTAATGCCTTCACTTGTGAACTAAATAACAAAGCAAACTTCAGACATCTTGTCTGAAAAATAGGCCCATGCATTTTTCATAGCATTGTCACTGCGTCCTTGAGGGAATAAAATGATGTCACTTTGTTCTTGAGAAGCGTATAAAACAATCGTTTGTGCTTCTTCTCTTTCTGTGGAGAAGTTGATGCATTGCAGCTCACCGAAGTTAGAATCCTCTCCGAGCTCCCTGCCAAACCTCTGCATGGACTCTCCCAGGATGGTCTCGGTCTGTGTGTAGCCCGGTCCCTTCTCCTGCCCCCGCATACGTGACATGGAGTTCATCATGCTCATCTTAGCTCTGGTGGCTGTGAAGACAAAGCACTAATGAAACCAAACACCACTGAGCGAAATGTCAGGCCATGCTTTAAATTTGTACCATAGTAATGGGTTGGACCGCTGTACTATAACGTGAAAAAACATTCAGTTGATTCAACTTCAATATAAACTAAACGTGAGTCCAGATGGTGATTATCAAACTAACTTTAGCCTGGCATCTGACCACTAGTGCAGCGGCCACTTTTGTCCCCTCACACCCTGAACCTGACTGTGACTGACAGAGCCACTTCCCACTCAAACTTTCCCAACCTTGATCATTTCAAAGTGAAACAATCACACCTGCTGAGCTGAATCCGGCGGATCCGGAAACACCTCTGCTCGTGATTAATTTAGTTATTAGATGATTGTCTTGAACAGTCAGATCACACCTTATGTAGGAGGCCTTTGCTGTGTCGATTAGCACCTTTGTTCACCTTCTCTGAAGCTTAGTATATTTCCTAAAAATGTGTGAACTTCTGTCGTTAGCAGAGGCGCTCTGTCCACTATATATATATATATATATATATATATATATATATATATTACTAGTGCAAGATAGACGTCACATCGACATAAGTAACACAGACAAGACTTAGTACACAGTACAGAGAGTAACAATGTACAGGGCAATTAAATTACGGAAGTCATTACAATAATGTACTTAAGAAATTCCTAATACAGTGGATGTATTGGTTGAATGTGCCTGTTAACATTTATTATTGCATTGTTAATAATATAGGTAAGTATGTGTATGAACAGGTTAACAGTAAGTGCATGTGAATATGTATATATGAGCACGTGTAAGTATGCTGTGTAGGATCATATGTGCAGTATACATAATGTGTGTGGGTGTTTAAATTTGTTCTTGAATAATTTTATTAGTGACTCTTGGGCAACTTGCTTTTAGACTAAAAGCACATACATACATACATAATCTTCTTGCGCAGCTAGTTTATGTCACCTGGGTTTGGCTGCAGATACTCAGTCGTCTTGGTCATGATGTCCAGCACTGCCCGAGCGGTGGTGTCCATCTTCTGTAAACCACAATGTAAAACAAAAATTGGAAGAAGACAAAAACAGATGATGCAGAAATAACAGTTGAATGAAGATGTGCACGGTAACATTACATTTACTCATTTAGCAGACGCTTTTATCCAAAGCGAATTACATTTGAGGAACAACATACAAACATCAACAGAGTAGCAAGAAGAAGAAGAAGAAGAAGAAGAAGAAGAAGAAGAAGACAGGAAGTGCATGTTAGAGGTTAGGAGTTAGAGGTGTTATAAGAGGAAGTGTTCTCGGAAGAGATGAGTTTTCAAGAGCTTCTTGAAGTTAGAGAGGGACGCCCCTGCTCTGATGGCGTGTGGTAGCTCGTTCCACCGTCGTGGTGTCACAGATGAGAATAGCCGGGACTGGGATTGCTTTGTGTGAAGGGATGGCAGAGCCAGACGGCATTTGTTGGAGGAGCGTAGCTGCCAAGAAGGAACGTAAGTTTGTATTATGGAGTTTAGGTAGATGGGTGCAGACCCAGTAGTCACTCTGTATGCACGCATTAGTGACTTGAATCTGATTCTGGAGGCCACGGGGAGCCAGTGGAGGTCACACAGCAATGGAGTGACATGCGTCCTTTTGGGCTGATCAAAAACCAGACGTGCTGCTGCGTTCTGAACCATTTGTAGGGGTTTCACCACACAAGCTGGAAGACCTACTAGGAGGGCTTGCAACACCTGGCATAAAATGACTGAGAATTATGGGAGAGGATGAGAGAAATATACCAGCAATAAAACAAGTGATGGATCTATGAACCTGCCATCTAATAGAGAGAGGGAAAAAAAACAGGATTAAAAAAAAGTGTTGCTTTGTTCTGCAGCGTGGTGGTGAGAGAGAGAAGTGCAGAGCTGAGAGCTTCTGTGTTCTCAGTGTGATGGCAGCTCTGCAAAACTCACTCTCTCTTCCTGCAGTACACGAACTACAACAAATTAACAACAATCATCACGTGTAAATACTCACACGCACTAACATGCGGTGATGCTTACAATAAATAAGCACTCACATGTACATAAGTGTATTTATTATTGCTCACATATGGAAAAATATGCGTTACTCAGGGTACTGATGGTTTCAGGCAGGCACACAAGGATGATACAAAGACACATAAAAATTATGTTTGTAAAATAGTGGCATTGCAGGAACATTATGGCCACAACTGTCTAAAAAACAATTGCAGGGAAAATGTCTGAGTTTGATCGTTGCAGGAGGGATTTCTGGAGAAACAATCATTTAAATGATGAAGAAAAAAAATCAAGTCAAAAGCAAAACTCACAAAAGTGATTACAGCTAGTAAGTCTAAAAGGTATTAGCATGGGTGAAATCTTAGTTTCCACGGTGCCCTCCAGCTGGGCAAGCTCTCAGCCAGATAGGGCTCAGCAAGAACACTGTAAAGCTTTTGCTTCATAAAGTAATGGGTGGAAGACACCAAAGGGCTCAAGGTAAATGTGGAAGCGCAGTACTTTCTTTTTTTTATCTTCCAGTCACAAGTCCACATCTCTAAACTTTAGGCCACCACTGCCACAAACCTTTGCAATTTTCCATTTAATTTCAATGTAAAAACAGGTGCGACGTCTTTCTGTTGTATATTTTCAGTGAAATGAGAGTTGTTCCTTTTAACAATTTGCAAGGAGCCATGTTTAAAGGCAAAAAGATTAACCAGCAAGAATTTCTGTTCGCTCCCAATTAAAGCCAGGGTCACAAAATGTTGACTGTTCAGAAATCTTTGTCCAACTTTAGATCCACTGAAGCGGTCAAGAGAAATTCCTTCATGAATGGGTTTAATTATCCAGGACGACACTGGTGGACCTATGTGATTGTCTGTCTTCTAATAACTTGCCAGCAGCTCAACACGACAGCAGAAATGATTGGTGTGTATGTGGGGATCCCACAAAATGTTGTTAATCCTCAGGTAAACTAATAATAAGCTCTAGCATTCATTTTCATTCTCAACAAGGTGGTAATGGGGACAATAGAAAGAGTTCAGTCTTGCCTTTTCCATTTCAGTGAAGTCCTCATCGAGCTTCGTTCCTTCTGCACCTCCAACTTTCTCGCTCACTTTCTGCAAAACAACACGTAAGGCTTTCAGCTTTTATCAGCTTGACAAAATGATGCATTCTTTGAAAGTCAGAAATAATGCAAAACAAGGTCAATTTTTTTCTACAATTCTCAACACTGAAATGCACTAAAAGTTCCAACTTAAAATGATATGAAAAAAGACCTCTGCAAAATTATGTGAATCTCTTCAAAACGGACTGAAAAGGTAGTGTACATGGATACTTTGCACAGATACAACAGGATTTCTCAGACTGTTAAGGGCAGAATGGAAATGTTTACATAATTATATTATGGATGTATTTAGACGTGCAGCCTAGCTTGCTATGAGATGAAGTCATCTTTATATTCCAATTAAGACGTCAAACAATAAATACTCAAAAATCAGCTTGACCTGAGCTTCACATAACAGAAACCCATTTTATTAATGATCATACTGAGAAGTGAACCTCACCTCTCACTGGTGCTCAAGGATAACAACGCCAGGAGTGTGTTAGTGATCTTAACATGTGGAATAAAACTGGCAATAATGTGTTATTAATGGTGGTCCAGTAGAACATTTTCTACAGCAATAATTCCTAACCTTTTTAACATGAGAACTATTAAAATTAAGCAAAGTATACTGTTGACCCCTTGTTGCAGGTTGTCTTAAAGTTCGAACACGTATTTTTTCCCTTCTCAGATTGGTTCATTTTAAATTTTTTTACAGAACTGAAAAAGATAACAAAAAGATCCAACCGAAAATTTGAGAAAAGTTAGAAAAAATAAATATAGTTTTGTGTAGCAGAAATATGTCTGTCAAGAGGGAGATTAATTAAAAGAAAGAAAGGAAGAGATGAAACATGGGCAGCAACATGCTCATAGCGTTGGCCTTTTTAGCTCCAGACATGGTAGAGACCCATGTGCACAGACATAAACACAGAAATAACTCCTTTGGGCTCCCGTCCCTCTCACTCTCTGTCTGCTGATAGTATTTCCAGTTCTGCCACCGTCAAGCTACAGTCTGTAATGTAACCAGATGGCTTGAGGGGGCAGCAATCTGACACAACGAGGCCAGACACGGCCCTCAGAGGATGGACTGAGGGGTGAAAAAAAGGCTTTAAGGGAATGTCACAAAGCGTGACTAAAGACAACGTGAAGGGCTAAGGTCAGTGGATGAAGTCTCTCCTCCAGTGAAAGCCTGCAAAATCACGTGTACTTCTTGGATAGAATTAGTCAAATTTCACATTCTTAGTTTTTACATATTTGATGGTTTCTTGGCTTGGTAATGTAAAAAATTTTAAGATCCTGAAATGAAGCGCAGAGGGGTGATCTGTGACAGATGCACCATGGGGGGTTTATAAGACTAAGCTTGTGGCAGCAGTTTATGCAGCGTAAGACTTTCTGAGGATTGCTGCTATGAGTCATCTTAGCGAGGTCTCTTTTGATCCCACTTGTGAAACAGCTCAATATTCTGACAGGCAATGCAAAACACACACATAGGAGTCAGATTTCCTGCCATTAGTTTCACATACACATCACTACAAAGTCAAATCCTCCCTTAGCTGGTTGCCATGGAGACAGGTACCTGCCTGTGCCTGGCTTATCATCAGTTATGGTGTCTCAGCATCTCCACTTCGAAGATGACGATTAACCGAGCTGTTAGGACGGAGGTGTACATGATGTCAAATGTGTGGCTGTAAAATGTTTGACATGGTCCATCTTTACGTGTGTGGGGCCGCTTGTGAGCAACAGCTGTGCCACCATAAGTGATGGACGTAGTGACACTTCTGGTGTTCATTCAAGCTGGCTAATCATGTACTGTACTATTTTACACCTGGGAGAGAATATGGTCGCAGCTACATGTAATACATAATGTGAATGTACAAAAACATGGCATGTGCCTCCTTTTAAAATTTTTATACCCGTTTCTGAGTGACATACTTTACACCAGACCGGCCTTACTGAGTCATTCAAGCTGAGATACATATATTCCAAATTGACATATAGCATCAAAGGGAAGTGTTTTATAGTGTGTGTGTATTATTTATTTATTTATTTATTTATTTATTTATTTATTTATTTATTTATTTATATATATATATATATATATATATATATATATATATATATATATATATATATATATGCGCGACGCATAACATGTATGTAATGACACAGGCACTATTTTGGTGCCGTCTCTGCAGAGGCAATTAGACTGATATTCTGACCCACGATGATGACTAATGCTCCACACCAGGTTCAACAGACATACACAAGAACAGCTTCAAGATGATTTATTCAACAGAACAAGTCATTTTACAAAGGGTTTTATAAACTTGAGGAGGACAGTATTTTTACATGTATTTTGTTTCCATTACCTTACAAGCAGCCATAAACTGATAGATTTACACGAGTGCTGAAATCCAAAACACAAACAAACAAAAAAACACACAGGCACAAATTACAACAATTATTTATCTGAAGGTACTAATACTAATTTGAACTAAACTAATGCAGTAGTATATGTGTACAAATTAGGAATGCAACAAACTATTATATTTGTTATCTTCTAATCTGTAACTTATTAATTAATCGATTAATCCTTTGGTCAATTAAATAGTAAAACCCAAAGATATTCGTTTTATTTATTCTGGTATTGCATGAGTGTAGTACAGACTGCTACAACAATGTGGGACCTGGAGTAGGCCTTGGGTGATGCAGAAAGACTTTACATAGTATTCAGAGCTCTAAATTCAACCCTATCGTATTTGTGTGTCTGTGTTTCCCAAATCTATGACTTCTTCTATGATGGAGAGAGGCTAGGCAGTCAGAATCAGTAGAAGTCAGTTAGTACTTAAGCTAAATGGATGAAACTCAGGTCAAGCAGCGCCTGTGGGAAAGTGTGTGTAGGTTTGCAGAAGAGGAGCAACTGAAGGAATTAAAATGAGCCGTTGGTAGCTGTTTTGAGTAAGTGGAACAGTGCTGCTGTGCAAACTCCTGCCCATGGCTGCTGTCAACGCATGTTCAACCAAATACCAAATACTAGCAAAGTGGAGAACAATGACAGAGCCACTGTTGTGCTTTGATGGCTGCAAGCCAAGGAGACAGCAATTTAGTGCAGTGATGTGAGGGAGATGCGTGTCAGGATGAATGCACATGCATGAACATACACACACTCTATAGGACTATATCGGACGTCAGAGCCAGTAAACACAGGACTGATGATTGATCCTTTACTCGCAGTGAAGTACTGCACACTTTGTTAATATGACCTAAGCAACCACGCTCTCCTAATGCCCAAGAAATCTAAAAGCTCCCAAGGAAACCAGCAATGTCACTGTGCTTTCACACATAACTGAGCTCTTTCTGTCCTCATAATCTGTCCTTCACTCAACAACCAACCTTTCCTTTCTCTACCCATCACTCTCTCTTGGCCCTCCCACTCCTTTTTGTCATCCTCCCTGCAGGGGAAGGACACAACAAGGTTAACTGAGCAGCAGTGGGAAGTGAACCTAAACAGGGAAGAGTAAAATGCGCAGTTGGCTGCGGGGGCATAACAGCAGTGGCGTAGATGATATGTAACCTGTGAAGTCACATGCAAAGCTCAGGAACTCAGAGTCGTGAAGACTGCCGTGCATGGTGCTGATACATGCAGCCGATTCGTGATGCCTCTAGACAGAGGGAGGCAATGCAGGGATAAGGTTTCACTGCAGAGCTTGGGCTGGGTTATTCCTAATGTGATGCAGCCATTGTATTCTAGGCTCCTTCAATATGATTTAATTTAAACAGCCCCTCCTGAGTGCCAGTTGGAGCAAAAATATGCTTTTCCACAAAAAAAATTCTTAAAAACACATCTACTCCCTTGCTGAAAAATCCAGAATCTATGAATATGCAAATATTGTTTATTTGAAACATTTAACTACTGGACACAAGATGTCTCCTGCTTTACTTAAAGTCAATTCACGGTGTATGTGAAATGGAGGCTTTAGGTTTTCATATCACACTATGATTGAGTCACAAAATCATGCTCGTCCTCGTCTTAAACAGAGATTTAAGGTGAGAAATTTTCATTCTTCAGCAGATGAATCTGAAAACAGTCTTCTAGTGTCAAACTCTACACATACATTATTCTGCACGATGAATCTCAAACATTCAAGTGAAGTAACAATAAGCGAAACATGTTGACTGGAGGGTAACGAACACTAAAATGGATATGTAAAGGGGCATGAGTGAACCAAATATCATGGCAAATTCATTTAACACAAGTCCAGACTTTTCACTTGTGACAACCAAATGTTGTCACAAGTGGTTGTAGGAAAAGCCGGGAACCATGAATTTCATCATAATGCATCCAGTGAAACAGACATTTCACTCTGGGCCAAAAAAAAATCACAAACATTAAGCTGAGAAGACAAAACAACAATAACAAGGCCATGTAAACTACTAACCTACTACTAACTACACATAGAAAACCCTATGGTCGGGTTCACATGAGGCTTTGGATCCATCGCTCTCACGAAAATGCTGCATCTGCATTTTTCTCTCCAACTGGAACCCATGTAAACCAAATCAGACCAGATTAAAGATCCTAAATGTGGAGAGGAAAATAGCCCAGAGATCTTGCCAAAAGCTGCAGGGCATCCTCCCTCCCTCCTCGTCCCAAAATCTCTTGCAGCGTCACACTGGTCGGTCAGCAGAGTGTGTCTTGACATGCTCTCTCAGTGGAAGAGTACATGAGTGTTGACATAGAGCCTGGGGTAACACAGACCAGGTGTAGCAAAGCCGAAAACCAACCCTAATGTAACAGGTCAAGTTAGAGTGTATTTGCCGCCTAAACACATTATGTACCAACAACCTGACCAAGTCCGAACTGATCTAAATGAAAATCCTAAACCAAAAGAACCAGCTGTTTTATTATCTTCTTATTTATTGGTGTTCCAGTGTTTGTTTTTTTTTTTGATAATGTATTGGTTTTACTGCTGTTTTGTGAAGTTTTTCCTGACGCTTTTATTCCGTTTTACAGAT